AGAACTATAATATAGCTTTCGTATTTCCAAGTAACACGCCTTTGGAAAAAAGCATCAATATATTACTGCTTAAATTTGTGCAAGCAGGACTTATTGACCACTGGATTGCAGATATGAAGTACAACGCAAAGGTGAAAACACGCAATTTTCCGGGTTATCTGGACGAAATCGGAGACAAATGGAAGGTTTTGACACTAAGCGATTTACAGTTAGCCTTCTACACTATCATATGTGGCAGTTTACTATCAACATTGGTCCTGTTACTGGAAATAGTTTTGGAATGTAGGTTCAACGGAGCTTTATGGAATTCGCTAAGAGCAAATGATAAATAAAAATATCAAACAACAAAATCGACTTCTTGTTTATATAAACATTTATGAGTACCGTTAATTTTTACATGGGCCAATGATCGGAACTAAACCACCTTTCCGATAAAAACTTATCCGAAAAAGAATTATCGCAACGTGGTTCATAGTTATCCGGTAACATATGTGTGTATGTATGTACATACAAAAATATTCCCTTGAATTTATACCCTGTATCTTTCTTTTTTAATTCGGTTAAAAAAGTGGTACATCTCTCCGGACTCGATCACAACAGGTTTCAAGAAAATCTGAATAAAATTTGTTCACTTTGTAATAAGAAGAAGTTGAAAACATTGCTCACTTTTTAGGTATATGTATGTATGTCCAGCTTTAAAACAACACAGGATAGTATTCTTTGGAAAGAAGCTGATTAATATTTTAAATTTAACTATGGGAAGACCTAAGATTATAAGGAAATACATACCCCAGTAAAAAAATTATATGTGCAATACTTCAACTGCAATTAGTTAAATGAAAAACAAATATTAGACCTTTGATGTTTTTTTCCCAATAATTGTATTCATTTACCCCCTCAAAAGAATATAAAAAATTATAAATATGCATTAGTTTATAACAAGATAATTTAATTGTATCATTATGTTGAAATTTTCGAAGAAAATATTTACAGCGTGGAGACGAATAACTGTTACCCAGGTTTTTTTGAGAAATAAAAGGCGCCTTTATAGATTTTGCGAAAAGAGTACTTTATTGTTAATTTTCCACAGATTTTACTTTAATCCTTATTTACGTTTGCTAGCAGTGTAAACTTTGAGAGAAAAGTTCATTTCGCACGCAGGTCTTTGTCAGTTAATTTATTCCATATCTTCTGTAATCATAGGCAAATTTTCTCCATTTTGAGTCCCTTATACTCCCCCTTTTGTCCAACATAAGGCCTCATACTTAAAAATCGAATAGACTCGGAACTGGTGACTAGGACGGCCATTCATTCGACCAATCTTATATAGTTTTTTTCTTTTTTGTATTTTTTCGTACAAAGCCTAAGAAAAAATACACCTGAAAAAGGCTTGCGTGCCAAATGAACTTTTCTCTCAAAGTCTAAACTGCTGGCAAATGTAAATAGGGATTAAAATTTATTAACTAATTAATACAACTAAAGTAAAATCTGTGGAAAATTAACAATAAAATACCTTTTTCGCAAAATCTATAAAGGACCCTTTTATTTCTCAAAAAAAAAACGAGGTAACAGTTATTCCTCGCCACGCTGTATATGTGCAAAGAAACAAGCGTTAGGTTACCGACTATTTTAAAAAATGTTTTTGAGATAATTTTATTTGTTGGTATTGGATTGTATTTCTATTGCATAATTTTATTTGTTGCGGCATATATTTTCCGGAATTTTGTAGTAAAATTTATATTGTTTCCGTCTATTTGTGAAGTTTGATTTATTTAAGTTTCAACACGTTATCATTCTGTTTTGAATAAGTAAAAATCTTGCTGAGAAGTAGATCTTACAAATCCCCAGTGGTTTTAAAGCTCATATTTGAAGCTATTTACTCTAAAAGAAGGTATCGAGAAGTAAATTGTTATTAGACTTGGTGTTTGGGGGTTTTGAGGTCGCTGATTTCGAAAATGATGTCAGGTTTTTTAAATTGAAAAATGGCGGATCCAATATGACGACCAAATTTTATAATATTTTTCTTTTCACCACAAACTCATATAAATGGGGGGTTTTCGAGGTCGCTGATCTCGAATTTGATGTCGATATGGCGAGGAAATTTTATAATTGGTTTCTTTGCACCAAAAACTGCTCAAAGTTTGGATGTTAAATGGACAATAAATGTCGTACACCTTTCACAGTAGAAGGGGGACTTCCGCCCTCTTCTACGGCAACACCGGAAAGATAATTCTCATTAGAAAGGCTTATAAACCCTACGCGCAGCCGAAGGCAGAAGCAAGCACAACCATGTGGTGGACCTAACAAAATGCATATTTTCAATGGCTTGGAAGAAGCTGTTATTGCATTAACTGGATTGAGAACCAATTCTTCAGGCATAGGAGGAATTGTAGCATGTGGCTCAACAATTCAACCAGAAGCTGACATAGATCCGTCCATTGTTACTATGCCCGAAAGCATACCTCTGTGAATCAATTGCCATAGCGCGCTCTTACTACGATGCTATAATTGCAAATGCATCAGAATCCAAAATTTTCCTCAAAATATGTAAAATCAACCAATTTTACTATAAACAAGCACATGATGAGTGTTTATAATTCCATTCCACATGTTTCCGCAAGGGTTGCAGCATGTCGATTTTTCGTTTTTCGTAACAGAGCTACAAATTACAAATTACGAATTACGAAAATTCGGGTTCTAGAATGACTAGCGGTAACTTCGAAATTACATAAGTTTTTGTGATTCAGTTAGTTTCTTTATGGGTATTTTTAGCTAATACTGTTGGGCTTTCAAGGAAAAATGCAATTCTAAGTAAGTTTCTGGCTTTTCAGGCAAATTGCTAAAAATTCTAAAATATGCATGCTATAAACAAAAATAAATTCCGACGTGCTAGAAAAAAACAAGCATGTATTTTAATATAGCAGATGTATCTACCTAGATATTTAAAAAAAAAGAGGGGAAAAAAGTAAAGTTTCGCAGCCCTGTGTAATTCAATATTTCTTTCGAATTACAAAATTTTTTGTATGACGGTAAAGTCCCTTCTTGTTATCTACGTTCTTTGCCACAATTCAGACAGTCTACCATTTGGTGAGTTTATACTGGTATTATCTTCTCCTATTCAACGATGGCTTCACTGTGAACTCTTTTATTAGGGGTATTCACGATCCGGTGCATGCTGTCTAGCATGGTGCATAGATAGCTTGATTGGCTAATTTTGTTGTTGTTTGAACACATTAAACAACAACAAAAATGCTTTTTATGCCATCTTATGCACCATGCTATACACAGTATGAACCGGATCGTGAATATCCCTATTGATTTGTTCGTTGAAAGCAAAACATTGAAGTGGTAGGATAAATGAGCCAATTACTTTAAACCATTTTAAGTCGACCAGTAGTTTAATACACACATACATACATATGTAGATATGAATATGTATAAAATCAAAACGAGCTTTATAATGACTAAAACTATAGAATAATCGCTTTTAAGTGCTTACCCTTCAAAGTTGTCGTTATGCCAGTGCTTGTACTAGGAGCGTTACTTGAAATAGCTGAAATAACTGTTGTGGGTTCTCTACCATCGTCTGAGGATGTATCTGTAGAAAAGAATTATCATATTTAAATATTCAGTAGCAAAAAACCGAGTGCGTGGAGTCCCTATGCGTGGAAGAAGTCAAACTTAATAGAGAAAATTTTTCAAAATGGAATAAGCAAAATGAAATTAGCAATAAATTTCATAATATACTATACATACTACGTATGTACATTAAGGTGTCCCTTCGCCATATGGCACAATTTTAATTTAAATTTTTGTTAGGTTACACCACACAGATTGGTGAATATACATGAAAAAATGTGTTATTCAAAATTTCATATATGTACATAAGTTGTTTCTTGCTTAACGTCTTATTTTAGTTGTTCATATTTTTAAACGTACAGAAAACAGCAAAGTACTTTTCAAGTCGATTCAAGTACTTTTGCGTGTCCAAATCTGAGCTCTCTCCACGACTGGATTGTATTTAACCTGACCGCACTACAGCCGGCCCGAAATTTGCCGCAGAGATCCACAGGTGGAAGATTTAAGACTATTTCCAGAGATTTGCTGGGTGAAGTGGGCAGGGCTCCCGTAACGAGCATGGCAGCCGTCCTCTGCACACGCTCCACCTTGACTCTGGATAAGGTGTTGTTTAGCGCATACGGAGACCGCGTAGAAAAGGATGGGTCTTATCACAGCTGTGTACATCCAGTGTACTATATGAGGTTTTATTCCTCATTTTTTGCCTATAGCCGTCTTGCAGGCATTCAGGGCAGTATTGGCCTTCCGGAAGCGGTCTTCAATGTTTCGTCTCCAGTCCAGTTTCTTGTCTAGAATAACTCCAAGGTGTTTGACCTCGGTTGAGAGAGTAAGTGCCACCCCGTTTAGGGTGGGAGGTTTAAATAAGGGAGTTTTATACTTGTGAAAAGTACTATTTCCGCCTTGGCAGGATTCACATTAAGTCCACATTCCTTGGACCAGATGTTTACCAGACCGAGTGCGTTTTGCAGTAACTCACTCAGGACCTGAAGATGTTTGCCCGTCGCCACGATTGCTATGTCATCGGCGGACGCTATGACTTGACAACCTGTGCTCTTTAGGCTTAGAAGTAGTGTGTTCACTGTTAGATTTCAGGGTAGAGGGGAGAGAACGCCTCTTGGGCGGTGTCTCTGGTCACATACTTTGTAATGGAACCATACCCCAGTTCTGATAGAGTAGTTCTCTTTCCGCGAATCTTTCGTCAAATGTCAAATGGCTTTCAGCAACAAGTCAGATGACTTTCAGCAACAAGTCAAACGACTTCTGCAACAAATGAACTGTGGCGTCTTGCCTTCGTCAACCGTCCAAACCAGCTCTCATGCTTTCGGTAACCGTCCAAATGCAGTATCGTGCTTTCGGCAGTCGATCAAATACGGCGGTTGCTGGTTTCGTGCATGTTCACTCTGAATACTGGTTTGCCGAAGTCAATATCAGTGTGAGCTGTTGTAAGTATCGTTCACTTATGGTGGCTGTATTTGCAAGCACTGTACGCTATGCACTGGTGTTTGTTCATCTCCCGTTTTTAATGTGAGCAGGCTTAAAGTCACAAAATCAGCATCGTTTGCCAATCTCTGGTATGTATGTCCTGGAATTTTTTAATCAATATTTCGTCAAATTCCCGATGAGCTAGAAACTTGAAACTTTGCTCATAACCCGGTGACAATGCAATATGAAAAATGCAATAACCCGCTAGGTTGCGCAGAAGTCCGTATTTATGATCCCATTTTGTTCATATTTGGGGTCAGTTTCTCAGTGCAGTTTTTAGCTCAGTTTAAACTAAGTTTAAGCTATTGACCAGTTTTTCAGCGCGAGTTTAAGGACGCTTCATAGTTTAGTTGTTTTGTAGAGCGACACTGTTCTTCAACCGACTTCAAAAAAGGAGGTTATCAGTTTGTCGGATTTTTTAATGTATGTTACCGCATTACTTTGGACCACGTCAACCGATTTTGATAATTCATGTTTCATCGGAAAGGTGGTACGTCAAGGGTGGTTCTAATTTTTTTTCGACCCGATAATTGGATCATGAAGAAAACACGATAATCTTAAATTTTTATATAAGAATTGGTCGGTTTTGTTTTTTGCTTAAAAATTACTTGTTCTTTATGCAGATAAAAAACTTTAGCCATTTATTTTCACTTTGAAAGGTTATAGACGGAAATTTAAAAAAGAGTTTGTTAGGTGGTGCTTCATGTGTTGCTCGACCAAATTGGCCTATGCAAGTAAACTCTAACTCAAGTTGCGTTTGTTATTTTCCTTATGCACAATTTTCATCTTACGTATGAACATTTTGCTTATTTTTGTATGTGCCGCTATACTTAAATATTTTTATCATGGTTTAAACGACAAACAGTTTAAACTCGCACTGAAAAACTGGCCCTGAGTGTATGTACGTTAGCAGGCTTACCATAGATACAATGCTTTTTATATTTTCTGCGCTGATAACGGTGATTGCTTACTGCTCCCTTGGTTAACGCTGTTGCTGCTGATGAGGTATTATTCATCGCCGCTGCATTTGAGGTAGACGCAATGGCAACATTTGTTGAATCAGTGTCAGTAGTTAGATTGACCCTGCGTGAATAACTAAGACCGTGGCGGTGAGATGCTTGGTGGCGCTTAACATGTGCGCGTGTTCGCATTGCTTTACTGCAGCTTGCTTCACATTTTCCAGAGCTATTGTCACGCACTTTCACAATTTTATAAGGTCGTCTATTGGCCAAGGAGGCTCCTTTTATTGCTAAACGTCGTAACCGGCTGCGTTTTGTGGCAATTAAGTAAGCGATGCGATTGGCAAAGGCATGTCGCTGAGGCTTAGCCTTTTTACTGAAATTCGATTTGCGGCGTTTAAGTTCTGAAAGTGATAAATAAATAGTCAAAAATTCCAATAACAACAGAGTTTAAAAGTAAATGTATACCTCTTCGCCTTGCGAATCGTCGCTTGGTATGTTTTGTGGAACGCTCACGCATTGTACCATTGCTTCTTTCCATTACAATTTCTTCTGCGGGTCCTGCGACCTCATCATTCCCGCCTACATTAACGGCAATAGTAACACCATCTCCACCGTCGTCACCATCATCATCGTCGTCGTCGTCGCTTTCATCGTCTTGACTACTATCTGAACTATCATTTGAGCTTGAGCATGAATGAGTGCCCTCTGAACCATGTGATGAGTCTGTTGAACTATCCGTATCCCAACCCTCTATTTCCTGTTGGATAAGTGAATCAAAGAATGCCATCATACGTGGATCTTCGTTCGTATTGCGACTGCTATAGTCATGTGACATATGCGACCAGCTGTGAGGAGATGTGGACATTGAAGTGAAATTGTAAGGTGAATACAGTTCTCTCGGATTTTCGGGACAAGAAGCTTCGTCCAACAATGAACCTGACCAATCCTTCTGCGTAAACGGACTCCAAAGCTGAAATACAAGCATTCGATATGTATGCTAAACACTAAACAAGTTTTAGTTAGGTTAAAATGTCAGAGAATAACTTTACGCGTACTTAGGATCTACATAAGTGCCGCTTTGGTAACATCAACCTTGTATGACTATGTTAAACCCAACCTTACATGAGACCGCGAAAATAACATAAGCGACATTTTTTTTAATGTAATTTTAATTGCTCTACTGCTTCCTGTTTGATTTCATTAAAAACTGGTCCTAGCCTCGCAACTTCAGGTTTGGGTTTTCCTAACAGGTTGTGTGTTCTTTTGTGGTTGCATACGGTCCACATGATTTTGGCTATAATTCAGCCTTAGGCCATGTATCATCTAAAGGTTGTGGAGAAAAATATCCCTGTATTTAGATCCGGTTGGAGGTGATGCCTAGTCTTCAACTGAAGCAATTTGGAACTCTCTCCGGCTAACGCATCAGCAGCCTCCCTGTTCTGCTCTGTTTCAAGGTCGATTTTGGAGTCATCGAACCATCGAGCCATCGGAGAACGAGGATCTATCCTAGGGGCCAATAGTGGTACAGCCCCACATATTTTTTGGAAAAATTTAGAAGTAGGTGGCGTGGAATGTAATCCCGGCTGAAAAACTTATTTTGGTGATGCAGTCTAATGTACATTTAAGAATTGAATATTCAAAAGCCTGAACTTTTCCGCCATAATCTCACTGTGAGGCGGTATCAAAGTCCCTGTCACAGTTGGCTCACGGGAGATGGGCCCGAACGGCTGGTGGAGTTAAAGCAATTTCTCTAATATGCCCGACCGTTATTTTTATCCATGAACCCAGTCCTCTGACAATGAACTCCGCCTCATTTTGTAGGATTATACTGGTTCCGTAAGACTTTCCACCAGGCCAGCGAACCGTAACATGAGTTCGGACATACAACTGATGCATACATCTAGAGCACATATTTTGTATTAAGACCCCACATCTTCCCGAAAAGCGGCTTGCACGAGTAAAAGACAACGATTTCTTTACTGTTCCCTATATATTTAGTTTACTTAGCTTGAAATCCAGTATCAGCCTCAGATACTTCGTTCGTTTAGATACCCGTGACCATTTATGATAGGGATATATGTACACCAAACGAAGTTATCGCTTACCTTCACAATCTTTTCAACGCCGGAAGAGGCCATCAGACATTTTTGTCGGTTGTAACGCACTTGATTTACAATAGACCGATGCCCATATAAAACCATTTGTGTGTTCTCCACCCACTGATCAGTCCGCTCCACTATAAGAGAATATTAGTAACTAGGGCTTGCAGCTTACGGAATTTTTACTTACAATTCACATCAGATACACGCCACACATAGAGATTGAAGTCATCTGAGCCAGATAACACAAATTCATCATTTTCCCCTGCAAATGTACAGCTTTTCATGGTGCAAGAATTATAATAGTTTCCATGATAAAATGTACACACGGGTTCTGGCGATTGTGTATTATAAAGGATGGGAGGTAAACGACGTCGCAGCGCCAATATCAGACTTCCATTAGAATTAAAACGTACACTCATGCAACTCGGCGGATCGTCGACATGACCTCCATATTGTATAACAGGACTATAAATAATTAATCAAAAACAATTTATTCAGTGGAAGCTATGGAGGTAGAGCAACAACAAAATGTATCATACTGATGCGGTTTACGTATATCCCAGAAGGCAGCACCTCTCTTGGAATTAGCAGTAACCAAAAAATTTCCACCGGCAGGATGAAATTCCACTGCATGAAATGAAGTGTGCTGTTGAGCCACAACTAAAGGATCAGCCGTGTCAACACGTTGGTCAAACACCAAAATTTGACCATCTTCACAAGCCGTAGCAAAAATACTATCACATTTTGGATCGATGGATAAGCCGTACACGGGGTTATTATGCTTGAAGACGTTGACAAGTTTGCCACTAAAAAAAAATAGAACTTTAAATGTTTGTATTGGAATAAAACTTGCTATTCAACTTACGTTTCAAAGTCATGTGCTATTACCAGGTCGTCGTTGCCCCCGGACAATACAATTCGATTGCAACGATCAAAGCCCAAACAGAATATATTGCTGGTGTGTTCGGTTTGCAAAACTCTCGGCCGACCATGATGAGCGATAGCTTTCTCAACATCCCATATAAGAACACGCTTGTCGTCGCCACCTTCATACATAAATGAATATATATTTGCATATAAATGAACGGTTTGATTGAAAGAAATACATTTCTATGCTATCAAGATCTTAGAATGATAAATAGATGAACCATTCAAAATTATTAATACATGTTTCGGATTGCTATTATCTAACGTGATTGATGACACCGTGCGACAAAAACAAAAAAAAAAAAACAGAACACACGAAGAAATCAATGCTATGGGCCAAATATAGTAAAACCACGTTTTTAGTTTTTCTCTTTGACGTCCCCATTTTTTAGCTTTGTAGTTCACAAGGACGAATAAGTATCGAAAATGCCCTTTAATTAATTTTATAAACTTAGACGGATGAAATACGAGAATGTGGTCGAGTGTGTATATATGAGGTCCCTAATATATAATTTTTACATAAATAAATGTTGCAAGATTTCAAGCAGAGTCAATGGTAAAACTTTCAAATATCATTTTCAATACCTACTCGCCATAATGCACCAAAAAATTGTATTCTTCTTTTATTCTACAGAAATGTATATCTTTAATTTGAATCCATAGTGTTTTTCTACATCGCACCATGGTACAATATTTGAAAAAAAAAAACATCATTGTTTCTGCCCCCACTAAAAAGTTTACTGTAAGATAAAAGCGATGTTTCCATACACCATCTATACTACAATAAAACTGTAGAAAGTCGTGTCTGTACAATGAAAATGTCTGTAAAATAATGACCGAAGGTGACGCAGGGAATACAATGGAATACATTTAGACAATTTTTTAGAATTTTTGACTGTCTGTTTGTTTGGGGGCTTTAACTGGTATCTATAGAGTGACCTCGGAGAGCTATAACTTCGAAACCGTAAAACACAAGACTTCGAAATTTGGTTTACTATCTTGAATTAATTTTTTTATTAAAATAAAGTGCATGCTTTAACGAAATGATATAACTCAAAGATTAAAATAATTCGACGAAGTTAAAAAAATGAACATCAGAATTTCAAACTTTTTAATTGGAATTTCTAGAAATAATTCGGGTATGTAGTTTATAGCCCATTCAATTTTAGTATTTACTTTACTATTCTTTTGTTAGCGGTGTTGTTCATTTTCTCCCATACAGTAAAAAAATGTGAACATATGTACCTTGTATGGAAGAAAACGCTCAACATTGCAATTGGCAGTTAACTACGAGTACATATTACCTTAATTCACAATGGCCCTAACCAACAATTTTTGTTTATTTTATAGGAATAGCAAACAACATTATAACAAGTAATTTTTAAGCAATCCGATTTAAAACACCTGTGAGGTTGACCTTTCTTTTAAAAAAAACAATTATAGAAATAATTTTTTTTTATGTTATGTATTTTTTACAAGCGTGAAACATAAAAGAATCGTTATAACTTTTGTTTGGTTTCAAATTCGGAAAAACTAGACCATTTAATCAGAATTTCTTTTTAATTGGATTAACGATTAATGATTAAAATTAAACAATCGTAATCACAACCGACGATTAACTATTGAAATAGGGTGTAATTTACATTTTTTTGTAGCACCGTGTTATTATTATTATTAGGTGCATTCTTTCGGGGCTAATTTTTAAATCCCCCGGCCGCTAAATTAGTTTTACTTCAAACAATTTTTTGAGTTAAAGATGCAAAATTTGTTATCAGCCCTTTTTAAACGACCAAAAGGATTATCAGTTCGTTGGAATATTTTTTTTTTATGTATGTTACCGCATAACTTTGGACCACGTTAACCGATTTCCATAATTCATCGGAAAGGTAGTGTCTTCGATCATTGGATTCATGAGATATCTATATATATATATATATATTTTTTTAATATGAGAGTTGAAGTCGGTTGTTTTTTGCTAAAAATTAGTTGTTTAAGTCTATTCATAACGATATACTAGGCCGCATGCACAGAACTAAGCAATTGCTTTTTCTTAAAATTTCATACCTTTCACTTTAATTTATTTGAACAAATCAAGTTAAAGGTCTGACATTTTAAGAAAAGCATTTGCTTAGGTTTTATGCATTGGCCCATATATCGCACCCCTATGTAGATCTAAAGTGAGCTAACTCAAAATTCAGATCGCGAAATATAACTGCTTGTGGATCGTACAGATTAAGTGCAATTAATGCAATAACAGGCATAAGAGTAGTTTATAAGTTAGTGTATGTAATGATGAAGAAAAAAATATTTGCATTCATTGGAGGTAAGTCCTATGCATTTATGTATTTATGCAAAAAAAAATTTTTTTTTAGTCGATCGCACTTTAGATCTTGGTGAGCGATATGTGTGCAATTGTGTCACATAGTAAGAAGGAAACTTGCCTTCCTTGCAACTTTACTCATTTCCATTTTGTTTAGAAATCGTTAGTATCAGACTTCAATATGGAATAACAGCTAAAGTTCTTTAGTTTCGGTAATAAACTTTTATTCATCGGTTCCATTTAATGACATTCGTTGTTGTTGTTAACCACTTGACGTTTAATAAAATTATGACATTTAATCAAATTCATACTACCTGATCACTAGAAGTAATATTTTTTTAACGAGAAGATTTCATCAGTCCACTCAAAGATGTGGAATATGATGAACTAGGAAATTTTGCTGGCTACGTAATTTCGAAAATAGGGATGACGAAACTAGCTTTCAGAACGCATGAAGAAAGTTATCAAAATTATATTTATGTTAATTGTTTATCGAAGTGCAGTCTTTACAAACCGACTTCAAGATTTTTGCATACAATGGAAATTGAAAATACAAAATTTGTTGAAGTTAATGCTGATACGCTAACCAAAGCCAAATTTTTTACAAAATCTGATAAGAAATTTAAAAGTAAATTTGGACCAAATTATTATAAAAAGGTTTTAATTGGGAAGAAAATTCCTTGGAATCAGATTTTTAAATTGCAAGATTACATTCAAATAAGAAAATTAAAAAATAACAACATAATGCGCTCGCCGTTTTTATTATAAAATAAAACGAACGATTACGATGAAGTCTTCTTTAACGGTTTACATTTTATATATACTTAACAGCAAAGTCTTGATACACCATACCTTTTTTAAATATTCACAATATTTTTCAAGTTAAAATTTGTTTGTTATTTTCTTATAAGAATGTGGATCATTCTTTAAACAAAATCATATAAACCAACGTTTCAGTTTTTATACAAAATTAACGAAAATTCTACAATTATTCATCAAACTTTTCAATCTTTTCAAACAAAACCTAAACAAAAATTCAACGCAGCTTTATAGCTCATTTAATGATATTATAATAATGTGTGAAAACTATGTAGCTAAGAAATTGCGTAGATTTTTAATGATTTTTTTTTTCTGACGGTTCTACGCATTTTTCTCCATATACAAAAGTGTCAGTCATACTTGGTACTTGTATTTTTAATTATTTAAAAGGTGCGAACCACGTAAGTAAAAAAAAAAAATACAAAGCACTGATAATTATTTTTGATTTGTATTATTATTGCATTGGTATATATATGGGAAAGAAAATACTCCGATTTATTGTTCTAATATTATCAAAGTAGCAAGCCCGTTGAGAATACTCACAATTTATGAAACTTCAAAAAATTTTATTATCCGTCAAAAGTTGTTTATTGAAACTACCTTCTTTTTTGTATCATGATTTTTGGCGGTGTTTTTTTCTTGACGCTCATGCACATTTTCTTACATATAAAAAACAATTTCGAGCTATCGAGGAAAGGAGCAGTGGAAATATTGCCAGAAATCAAAATTGCACTAAATTAAACTAAAATTCAATGGCCTGCAAAACTGCACTCTTAAATGTTTTAGAGATTTAGAGTTCGCAAAAACAACAAACATTTCAAAAATTCTCCGTATTGCAAAAAAATACCGCTTAGTTTACAGTAAAAGATAAAAAAAAATCTGAAACTTCTAGTGAATGCTCATATCGTTGGCTTAATATAGAAAAGATTATCTTTATAAAAATTAAGTAAAATATATGGATCGATCTTGGGGAAATCGATTTATTTTTTTACGATTTCTTCCAGCATCGATTATTTTTATTTCAATTCGAATCGGTTCAAATTTTTATTTTTTTTGAATCTGGCATCTCAAATTCCTGTAGATATGTAATGTTATTTTTTCGGACATGATTTTTTTAGAAAAAATACATTTTTGGGGAACGTAGTACAATGCAGTAAATACCCTGCAGGAAATTGAATTAGTTTGATAGTAGTTTACAAACTATTTTATTTTCAGTGATAACTAATTGAAATTCTCACTATTTTACCTGCAACTAATTCATTTATTTAACATGGCGATGTCCTAGGAAGCAGTCAATTGCCTTTTCCTGCATGTATTTTCCACTACTTTAAAATGAATTTGGCTTAAACAACTTCAAAGTCAGTATGTTTTGTTTGAATACGCTTTCGCTCTGCACTTCACAGATGCTTTTTCATAACTAAGAAAAACCGGAATTAAAAATTAAAAATAAAATTTTTTGAATTATTTGAACATGGACCTTCTTGGCTGCGTCCAATTGTAGCAAACATCTTTGCACGCTCAGCTACAGCCAGACATGTTAATGTGCTTTCAAACGTTCAGTTTGAATTGTGTGCAAGCAACAAGTCGACTGTCCGACTCTGCATTTAATTTCAACTACTTTAAAATGAATTTGGTTTACACAACTTCAAACTTCTTTTGAATACGCTTGCGTTCCGGACTTCACAGATGCTTTTTCTTACTTCCAAGACACAAATTGTTTTTTTTTGAGCAAAAAGAGTATACAAATTCGAAACATTTACTCATTGCATTTGTTTTAAAGTAGTCTTTCAATTAGTTGATTTAAAAAAAAAATAACTTGTTTTCGTCAGGGTAATCATCACGCTAAAGATTATAATTTATTATTATTAATTTATTTAGAATAAAATTAATTTTATATAACTTTAAGCTATCGCACAATTTGCAGCGAACCTGTTGTTACCTTATCTTACATCCTACATTAACTCATACAAATGACCACGTGTTGATTTTTTTTAAATATCCGTAATGTTTTTGGAGCTTAATTTTTTGTAATTTTTTTTTATAAAAATACCGTTCAAGCTTTATACAAAATTTAGGAAAATTCAACAAATTTTCATCAAAACTTCGCGTATGCAGTCTTATAGTCCCAACAATTTTTGTCGAATGAAGTGCAAGTTTCAACCGGCTAAAAATCGCGTCGATTATCGATTTTTTTATTGAGACTACTTTTGCGGTTTTTTTAGAACAAGTGAAATTTACAAAACCTGGCCTCCCGCATTTTATTTCATATGAAATTGATGCTTATATGGAGAAAAGTCCAAAAATCCGTCACAAAAAAAAAAATCAAAAATAACAAAAAAATTAGTTCCAAAAACATTACGAATATTAAAAAAAAAACCAAAACGTGGTAATTTGTTTGAGTCACTGTATTTCACAAGCCTCCACTCATGTTCGCAAGTTTTCGCGGTATACACACTAGTGCTATTAATTGATAAAACTTATTTTATTAAAATAATAATCTTTCTTGTGAAAGTTATTGACTACTACGATGTACTTCGAACATGTATTTTTTTCTTAAAAAAATTCATGCAGGTCTCACCATTTGGACCAACATCCCAGTAGATAATTTCATGACTTAAAAGCCCTTCCGAAAGGCTTTCCTGAGAGTCAGAGGCCGTCCACTATACATTCCTTTCTCCTTTCTTTTTTGTATGGAATGGCACAAATTGAAGGGCTTCTCTTTTCGCTACCCATGGAAGGATTTCCAGAGGGGGTTCTTATAGGGCGTACTTCAGAAGGCATTTGGAGGAGTTCTTTTAAAGTTTCTTCTTTAATTTATAAGTATCACACATCTTTTAAGTATTTGTTTACGGTTTATGTCAAATATGTGTTATTGCAACTTAAAATGTTTATTGAAATTCATTTGTAATGCTAAATAATATAAATTTATGCATTCGCGTAAATTGTAAAAGGATAAGGCCTTCTAGAAGGCATGCAAGGAAGCTATTCTTGGGTAGGCATCTTAGGTGGCGTTACTTAAAAAGGCCTACCTAAATTATCTTCTGTGAAACCACATATTTAAGTTTCATCGAGATTAAAAATCATGCCCGTACCTGATGGTTGTTTTAAAATGGAAAGCATCCTATGTATAATTTCTTGTGTGTTCTATAACGTTCTAGCGATGTCACTTTTATGAATCTGTTTTTCTACCTCTATAGTAAGTTTGTATTTTTTACCTGACGCAAGATAACTTCCACCATGCGAAAATTCGATTGCATTAACACAACCATAGTGAGCTCGCAAATCAGTCTTGAATAAATTCCTTGCAACACGATAACGCTCCGTATATAAACGCCCTGAAAAGTTTCGGGGATTACGTAGTGGCCACAAGTTCAATTCTCGCTGCATAAGCTGATGATATAGATTTGAACTGCTGCATAGCGTTGATTGGGCTGATTGCATCATTGTGCTCTTTCAGATTTATCAAAATGTAGAGAAGTTATCCTTCTATAATTTAGAAAATCATATTTTGATTTTAGCATACAAATAAAAATCGACACTTAAGTGGATCTAATTTTTATCGAATGTGGTGTGATCATAGAAATCACATAATACAGTCCATTCAAAGAATAAAGCTGCTTTCAGATCAGCAGATCAAATATGTCAGTTGTAGATAAATGCTGTGCCGGCAGGTAACCTGTGAATAAAAACTTGAAGATATTATTCTGTTGCGACCTTTACTTTGTGAATATATGTATATGAATAGCTAAAAATAATGGATTAAAAAATAATTTATATACATCGCTTACTTTCTAGAAGAAGCATAACTAAAAAACGAAAGTTATAATAAAGTTATGCTCATATTATATAATGACATTGAGTAACTGGCCCTTAAACGTCGTTACCGATGTTACCGACACAATGAAATACGTTCCCGCGACAGTCGGGCCTACGTAACCGGAACGACCCAGATTTATATCTGGCCAAGGACTGTCACTCCAGCAACACTCCCCAAAAAGTCTTTGGGGAATTTGTATGCTGCTACAACAACAACAACAACACAATGTAATAAGCATGGAGTCAGTACGTTACCGAAGATTCTGAAACCGGAAAATTTTATTCAGTCTCATTGTGTAAGTCGCAAATTAGGCTACATTGACAACATTGGCATTGTCTACTGTCGTGCTGAAATAAATAAACGACGAAAATCGTCGAAAATTGTACAGTGCTGCCAAGTCTTTCCGTTTTAATACACTAGTCGAGTGGACATTTTAGGCAATGACGTGAAATTTTCGATACGATTCGACTCTCGAAAAACGACTTGCATTCGACACGACTCGCGCAATGAGGGTGATTACACTATGTAACAAGGTTTTTGTCCCTGGGTTGTAATTGTTATTTCCTAGTCAGTTAGGTCCCAAAAGTATAGAAAACAGCTATTGTCGCAAGATAACTTTGCTTTTGTGACATGGCTTCACGAGGCTGCAAGTATCCTGCAGATGCATTTTGTTATGTCTGCGGATATTTTATCAAAACAAAAGCAAAGTTTCCGAGGAATATTAGGTGGTTTCCATACTTTTAAGGCATAACAGACTAGGAAATAACAATTACATCCCAAGGACTGAGAAATTTTTTTTTTTGTTACTTAGTGTTATCAAAAAATGTTACCAGTTCCTGTCGCCGCGATTCTAGATACGTTGGTAATGCAGTTAACATATTCAGCAATTCAGCTATGAAGAATTGTGGAAATTCTCGCATTGCATATTTCACGGGGCAATCTTATGAGATGGTAAAAAAAATAAACCGGTTACAAGGGTAAACACAAAAAGATACACAAAAATTTATCGGTTACAACATTTTTATTACCAGCGCAGAATAGACCTGTAAGAAAAATATGTATAGCGAAAAGTGCTCCTAAGAGGGAATGAGGCCGGTCAAAGGACTTTAGAAAAAATACTTTCTTACTCCCCAGTGGAAATTAACAGATTCAGATATAAATATGTACTATCGTTGCGTTATTTAAACATTTTAATATGCTTCGAATTTTGTTAGTTCACAAATAACAGGCTAATCCTCAATAAAGAAAATAGGGGTATTCTCTGAGTCTTGCAAAGCCCTTGCACGGTGCAATGATTGCAATGTAATGTAATTCTAATTGTAAATGCACATTTTATGTATGGTTTAAGAGTATGTGCTACAAAAGTACATATGTAGTACATACATTCATGTGCTTACGTTTATATCGACATGCACCCATAAATATATATATGTGCATACAGACGGGCATTTCCATAGTCATGTGCGTGACAGTCGTACGTTTCAATGCGATACAAACAAGAAAAAATACTGTTTTCTCTTACATCTTTAAGCCCTTGTCGTGCTTCATTTTGTAAAAAAAAATCCGGCTAATTTACGAGGTATACGCGGATACGAGGCATTTACGCGTTTATATGAATACCCCGAGAAAACATGGTCCTTAAATATACGCAATTAAAGAGAGTGACCTTATATGGTGAAAGTTATTTTTTTCTTTTCTTACAAAATCGCAAACCTTGCGAATTGTGGTTGTATAAAAACAACAAGTAAAGAAGTATAATTTCGGGAGAGACCGAACTTTATATACCCCGCGCAGGTATCAAATATTGTCGTTTCAACTTTCTCTGAACTACCTTTGCATGATAAGTAGGGTGTTTACCCGATTTCAACCGTTTTCGATAATATGCAGAGATAGACTTAATGATATAATTGAACCTAAATAGGTACAAATCGATAAAGTGGTTACCGAGGTACACCCAATTCCTAAAAGTATATAGCAGTCTTATTTATTGTTAAGAGATTGTTGTAACTATTAGCTTGAAGTAAATTAGCGTCCTCAGTTATTGAAATATCGGAGTTTTCGTATCAGAAATTTACCATTATACTGGATGCGGGTGTAATTTTAGTCCGATTTGGATAATTTTCAATAAATTGCTTTTCGGTTCCAAGGTTATTAAGTGCACCGAGAAATTAATAAATCGGTTACCGAGATACACATTTGTTGTCATAAGGGGGCGGCGCCACGCCCATTATCCAAAAATGTATAATAATGTATTTGACTGCTAAGTGGTTATTGTAAATATCGATTTCGAGTCAATTAGCTTCAGTAGTTACTGATTTATCGTGGTTTTCGTGTTTCTGTAAATTACCGTTATATGGCAGGTGGGCGTGGTTATTGCCCGATTTCAAAGATTATCAACAGATTTCTTAGCTGGATTGTAAGCAAGGTTCGTACCGAGATTGGTAAGGATTGGTGAAGCGGTAAATTCGTTTTGGCTGTTACAAACAACAGGTATGTGAACAAAGTTACTATACCCTTGTGCACAAGTGCGCCCGGGTATAAAAATTTATAATTCATGATAAATTTTTTGGAAATCTATGACTTATTATTTTTTCAACTACGCTCGCCAAATTTGACCCGAATCGGACCATACATACGGTTTTTCAAAATATTTCGACCCTGGCGCCACCTGGCGAGGTCATGTTCCGCAAAAATACTTCTGCCCACATCAGTTGCATTCGCGTACTGATAGTTTTTGATAACTAACAATACCCGAATAAACCTAATGTAAAAAGCAGATAACTTGGTCCATACATAATTATGTACGTGAGATGTGTATGTATGTACATATGGCTTTTATTTTTCTTCTCGGTAGACCCTCCGATGGAAACGCCCATATGTACCTACATACATATGTACATGTACGTCTATATGTACATATGTAAATCATTATATATATATATATATGCTTGTATATACAATACATACCTACTTCAAAATAAAAGGCTATTAGG